GGTGCAACAGATTCCTCCATCTACACTTAAAGGAGAACTATGGGGTCAGTTTTTTTCCCCATAGTTCTCCTTGGGGTAACGGGAGGACACAAACTAGCGTCCTCCCGTCACCCTAAGCTCAGTATACCGCGAGCTACAGCTCGCGGTATACTGAGACGCCGCACCTGGAGCGGATCCCGACTTAGATGACGGGATCCGCCCAGCTGCGTGAGTGACAGCTGGCTCTGCCTATCTAGAGGCAGAGCCAGCTGTACCCACCCCCTCCCCCGTCCGTTCCGCCAGTCAGCGCTGGCAGATCGGAGCGGGGAGAGGGGAATCCAGCCCCTCCCCCTGTCACGGCAGAGAGCCGTGACAGGATCGAGAGGTGAGGGAACCCGGTATGTTTTCCCTCACCTCCCGATCTACTGAGCCGACCTGTGACCGTGTCATTGTCACAGGTCGGCTTAGAACTATGAGGTGAGTGGAAATCACTCATCTCATAGTTCTCCTTTAAATGTGTGGATGGAGTAATCTCCACCTGGGCTAATCTGATGCACTTTTTCCATCTGACCACAGAAAATCTGCAGATAAATTGTAAGGTGTGTGGGCACCTTTAGTCACAACCAGGTGTTGATTGCATTTGCATAATCGGAGATAGGTGTTAGGGCCTGTTCACATGATTTTCAGGTCCGGACCAGGTGCGGATCTGCAGGCGCGGTGCTACTCATGCAGTGCGTTTTTGACACGCTTTCGGTCCAGATGCTGACAGTTTTGTGTTTTTTCCAAGCCGTGGGGCTGTCAGTATGCAGATTCTTCCTCTGAGGTCACTTCCGCCCTCTCGGAACATCTACTTCCCTTTGTGTATGTAAAGCTGGTGATCAGACATGTATCACATGTTTGCAGGCATGTTGATGGTGCTGGCTACAGCAATCTGCAGAGAACGAGCTCGCAGGAGACGTCGTTATTGGGTACACCCGATCTTGAGGCTCCGTGACTCCAAGGGCCAGTTTTGGAGTTTGTATGAGGATTTGCGAGCACACCCGGATACATTTTTTTTCTTTACCCGTATGTCCATGGAAAGGTAATGGGCATGTTCAAAATGTTTGCAGTTCATGTCTTTACCTCTTTTTTTTTTTTCTTAGTTGCATTGCGTTCCCGTTGCGTTTCTGCCGCGTTCGTGTGTTTCCTGACCAGACAAAATGTGACATGCAGTATTTTTTCTGTCGTAACCTGAACGGACTGCGCACGTGAGAACTGTAGCCCATAAAACACATAGGGATACATTGGGATGCATTTTTAGTGCAGGAGCGTACGGATCAGGTCAGCACAGAAAACGGACGTCGTGTGAACAGGCCCTTAATAACCTGCCCAGAGAGAGGTGGTAAAACACTCTCTCTGGCAGGTTAATAACACCTCCTAGACTCCAATTATGCAAATGCAATCAACACCTGGTTGTGACTAACAGATTATGTGGATTGAAGCGACATCCACCATATTTATTCCCAGAGAATTTCTTGTACAAGTCTTTCTGAATTGAGAAAGCCGGTTGGATGGCCAGTGAAACGTCTTCAAGATAAATACAGCAAGTCCAGTTGCCTTGACTTATTTTTTTCCAGATACACCATGACCTGGATGAATGAGAACCTTCACAGACAAGTGGTATCAGTAAATTTCACAGCTAACACGGCATCTGTCTGTGATCTAAAGTTTTTAAAGTTGGGTCATGTAACACAACAAGGATCCAAAAACGGAATACTTGGTCAACAGTGTCCCAAACAAAAGAAACGCTTTACTCTATAATGACGCAATCAGATTCCTGACCTCAATCCTATAGAAATGCTCCGACAGGATGTGAAGTCGGCTCTTCAAGGAGAACATCCTAAAATGATATAGGTGCCGAAACAACTTTGTAAGGACTACTGTCGAGGGGCTTTAGTTCACTTCAGAACGGCTTCTCTGCCCATACAAGTCTATGGGAATGCAAAAGCAAATTGAATCAGGTCACATATACTGTACCTGCAAGGAATTCTGAATATCACAAGCATCTCAATCTGATATCAAAAGCTTGCTGCATTTGCCCATGGAAGAATGTTGACACAGGCCCTAAAGAGAATTGGGTCACAATCCCTCCTCCTCCTAACTGCAGCACAAATCTTATCAGCATCTTTACACTGAAGACGGAATAGATGCTATTCACATATCTTATCATTAATGATCTGGATTGTTTAAAGTGAACCTTCACTGCCCATGTCCACTTTAGCTCCCTACAATCCCCCCGCCAGCCTAGGCAAGAATGACGTCTCTTTACTCCCTTAGCCAACCTGTCCACGTCATTGGGGGGCAGCTTTAGAGCCCAGAAGAGACACTGGGCCCCAATGACATCAGAGATAAAGAAAGAGGCACAGGACCAGGGCAGTGCCAGGGGATTGGTGAATCACAGCAGGTTCACATCGCAGCGTGCAGTTCTAGAGCAGGTGAAAAAACTGCAGCAAGCACTATTTTACCTGCTCTGGAACGCATGCAAATGCCTGGAACGCACTAAAAGCCCATTTTAAACTGATATATATATATATATATATATTATTTTATTTTATTTTTTTACCAAAAACGACCCGGAACGCATCAAAAACACGGCACAACCCACTGCACTGAGTGTGCAGAAACCTGAGCGGATCTGCTCTGCATTTGGTGTGAACAAGGCCTAAGAGGTCACCAAATTCTATTCCGACCTGAGAAAACCAGCCTGTGACCCACTGATCTGACATCTCCATGGGTGGCATGACTGAGCCACCAGACCCAGCGCTGGTATGATAATAGACGCCGGCAGGCGTCACAGCTGACAGGCTCATGACCTACATTTCATGAAATTAAACTCATGTGATAAAGCTAGCAGTAGGAAGTCACATTCATCCAGACTTGCTCTACAGCAGGGGGAGGCAACCTCAGCACTCCAGCTGTTGTGGAACTACAAGTCCCATGAAGGCACTGAAAGCCACAAGCATGACTCCCAGGGGCAAAAGCATAATGGGATTTGTAGTTTCACCACAGCTGAAGTACCAGAGACACATAACTGAATGAAACAGCAACGCGATGACGTCGCACTTTACTTTTGCAATACAATCCCTACTCCAAAACCATTAAGGTTGCCACACATATTGCAATCTGACTACAATTGCCACTTACCAACAACTATGTAGTGTGAGGGCCTACCTGAACAGGCCAGTCAATGTATAGCGAGGGCCTACCTGAACAGGCCAGTCAATGTATAGCGAGGGCCTACCTGAACAGGCCAGTCAATGTATAGCGAGGGCCTACCTGAACAGGCCAGTCAATGTATAGTGAGGGCCTACCTGAACAGGCCAATCAATGTATATCCAGTCAGGTATTCCCAGGTACATCTAAAGCAGGGGTAGGCAAACTTCGGCCCTCCAGCTGTGGTAAAACAACAAATCCCAGCATGCCTCTGAAAGTCATGCCTGTGGCTGTCAATCTTGCAATGCCTTCTGGAACTTGTAATTCCACAACAGCTAGAGGGCTGGAGTTTGACTACCCCTGATCTAACGCATGCGATCAAATCCAAATTGTAATGCTTTAGCATCCCACTCTTTGGACACCCTGAACACAATCTCTGGAATTCATAAAGAGTGTCACTCACTAGAAATCTGCCTCTCCTGCATGCACCCAATGGCACAACTTTGTGACAGATTTCTGTAACAGTCAGTAAGGTTTATAGAAATCTGTTGCAGAATTCCCGCAGACAGAATTTTGGCTGGGACACAATATTTACACGTGTGACGCCATTTACTCCAACATGGAAGTGGTTTTATTTACCTCCACTTTTCTTATCAACGAATTTCTAGATAAATTTGTCACAGCCATAGCGCCAGAAGGTAAAAGTGTCTCACATAAGAACTGCCTGAATCTGTTGAATTTGGTGCATGACTTTCAAATAATGGCCACAATGTCAGAGAATTATTGTAAATGCTTTATTGGATTGCCCCCAATTATCTGACCCTAACACTAAAAAACAAACTAACATTTCCCATGACCAGTGACACACTTATCTGAGCCCCCCTTACTGACCCAATTTGTGATGAGATTTACTCTCCGGCCCCACTAGTGACAACCATACTTGGTCCACATGTACACTGTGATCTATACATAGCTATGGATTGTACTCTAACCTCAATAGACACCTTGATTTCATGATGAACTCTCCAACCCATCATAGACCAATCCATTCCAAATCAATTCCCACCTAGTGCCACACTCACACTAATGGCCCCAATTCATAATCTGGTCTTCATAGATGAACTACAACTGATATATAGGAGCTGAACAACGACCCATAGCAGTGATGATCAGGTAAGTATGACACTGATGTGACCCCAGACATACAGGCTGACCCCTATTGAGTGACACACATTGGATCTGGTAAGTATGACACTGATGTGACTCCAGACATACAGGCTGACCCCCATTCAGTGACACACATTGGATTTGGTAAGTATGACACTGATGTGACCCCAGACATACAGGCTGACCCCCATTCAGTGACACACATTGGATTTGGTAAGTATGACACTGATGTGACCCCAGACATACAGGCTGACCCCCATTCAGTGACACACATTGGATTTGGTAAGTATGACACTGATGTGACCCCATACATACAGGCTGACCCCCATTGAGTGACACACATTGAATCTGGTAAGTATGACACTGATGTGACTCCAGACATACAGGGTGACCCCATTCAGTGACATACATTGTGATGATCTGGTAAGGGACACTGATGTGACCTCAGACATACAAGCTGACCCCATTGAGTGACACACTGATGTGACCTCAGACATATAGGCTGACCCCATTCAGTGACACGCAGCCCCCACTAGTGACACAGATTTCACACGCACCCACAGTGACAGCTTGGCGATCTGCAGTGACAAGCACACCGGGGGACAGCCGACAGTCTTCAGGCCACTCTCCAAGGGAAAATGTCAGCATGCTCCTCCACTCACCGTTTACCGTCCACTTCGCTCTTAAGCAGGAAGCCGTACTTGTCGGTCCTCCTCTCCACGGTGAAGCCGTTGATCTCGGAGTCGGAACCAACAGACTCGAGTTCCGGATCGCTGAGGGTCTCCCTGGTGCCACGCATGCTGGCGGAGGGAGACACACTGCCCTCCTTGGGGCTCCGCGCCATCCCGGCTCCCCTCCACCACTTCAACACCAAGGAACCATCACCTCTACCCCGGCCCCTCCGCACTTCTAGCTCCAATCTCACTACAGCAGCAAGCACCTCCTGGGGCCTCACTAATTGCCCTCCCTCGTTTCCCCTTGCCCAATCAGCGCTCAGCGTGCAACACGTACAGCCAATGCCTGTGGGCGGCCGATCCCAGCGAACGAATCGCACACGAGAACGCTCTGTCAATCAAATGAGAATCCCGCAACACACAACATTAATCATTTTCCATCCCATCACCTTAGCCAGCCAATCACGAAAGGCTGGAACTGGCTTCAGCCAATCGCTGCCTAGAGTCCTAGAAGTCGAGTTGTCAATCCGTGTGACGTTCCCAGTCTGGCAGTCGCGCTCCAGCAGAACCCAGTAAACATTCTTGTGCTGTCACTTCATGTAGGTCCGCCCCAATAAGTATTATCCGTCAACGCTGCTCCCTCCCAGCTCCTGGATCCTGTTAGACTAGCTGGAAACTTGCTTGGAACAACAACACTTGATGTACTATGTACAGGACTTTAATCTTAACCAGAACATCACCGGAGGACAGGAATCTGGAGGAGTGGAGGGATTTCAGCTAAACTGATTTCACTGCTAACGAATCTTCACCACATCCGAACCTCGGTTTCACTCATTGAGCTGCTTAGAGAAATTTGCTTTTAAAAAATATAGTAAGATGTTCAAAATGAAATTCAGGGGACATGCTATTGCAAGGGTGGGCAACTCTGGCTCTCAGAATCCCATCATGCATCTGTCTCTAAGCCACACCCTCAAAATAACACTCCCATTTTTTTTAGCCACACCCACAAAATCACACCGCTATTTTTAGCTATTTTTAGCATGCCCTTAAACAATTGGTCAATTTGGGACAAGAAGCACTATGGGGGGAATTTATCATAGCAATTGCGAGTGTTTGAACTCGCATATGGTCACATGGGATATATTTGCGCCAGATTTATGTTGCTAGTGTAATGTTGTTCATAAATGAGGTTTAATAGACTCCAGGAAAGAAGACTCGTAACTCCAGGCAAAAAGCTTAAAGGAGAACTATGAGGTGAGAGATTTTCACAACCTCACAGTTCGAGCCGACGTATGACAATGAAACTGTCACAGGTCAGCTTTATAGATTGGGAAGTGAGCGAACGCATACCATCACTCGCTCACTTTCCGATCATCTCCCTACAGAGAGCAGTGACTGTCAGTCACAGCTCCCCGCTCCGATCCTCCATCGCTGACTGGCGCTAATTAGGCATTGACGGTCCGTGTGAGCAATAGCTCGCTATATACTGGGCTTTGGGTCACAAGAGAGCTTAGAATATGCCCTCCCGTGACCCTTAAGAGAACTTAAGTTACCCCATAGTTCTGCAAGCACTATTTTGAGCACATGCGGACGATCGCATTGCGGCCGGAGGGCCGTGGCTACGATGCTATTCGCCATAATGGCCCGCCACGCTCCCCTTGCCCGGCAAAAAAGTGGGCCGGCCGTGATGCAGTGCTTATTGGGCAGAATCGGGCCGGAATGCACTGCATCTAGTGTGAACGTACCCTCAGACAGCCGCAGGACAAGTGCAGATGTAAACAGTTGCAAACTTTTGGTCAAAACAGGCGCACATGTTAAAAGGAGCGGCTAAACAGATATGCACATTAAAAAAAATTATCTAAGAGGCTGAAACTGTCACAATTGCGTTGATAAATCCCCCCCAATGTGCAGTAAAACTGTCAACTTGCACAGTGAATGGGGAAGTCTTCTCCTCGGCTGTGTCATGTGACACACATCATAATTGTGGAGGAGCTTAGGGGAACTTTCCTCTGCTCTGTACACAGCCATTGTTTCTGAGGTCTGAGCGGCTGCAGTATGAATGGCACTGCAGAGCTACAGCCTGAAAAAAGGGAGGCCACAAGGCCAGTACACCCGGTGGTCTGGGTGCCTGGCACTGTGACGTACCCGCACTGCTATTTCTATAGCTGGAGTTCAGCTTTAAGTAACACTAAGGCTACATTTACATAGTGTGAAGGTGCGTTTTCTGACTCCTGAGGCATGGGCCTACTAATTCCTGTGGCAGGAATCCAAAATATGCCATTTAGAAGCGGCTGTTGTCGCCTGTTCAAGTTAATGATCAGATGGCAGTAGCTGCATCTGTAAGCGTTACTCCGCATGTAATTGTATGTGATATGATTATATGCAGTTTGGAATAGATCACTGCTCCTGGACGTATCTATCCTGCATCCAGCAAAATCATTCATTCCAAACCGCATGTGATCATATCCAGACATCTCAACTCTTCCGGATGTTCCGGGAGTCTCCCGCTATTAAATAGCGGCTCCCGGACACCCGGGAGAGAAACATTTTCTCCCGGGAAAGGTTTACTCCGCTCCATTTAGCAGAGTAAACCTTTCCGTGCTGTCTGGTTTGGGTTTTTTTTGTCTGACATAGGGGCCGCCGTCAGTCAGAAAAAAAAAATGGCACAGGAACCAATAGCTAGATTGCTATTGGCTATTTCAATTTGTAATAGCAAATAGCAGACTAGCTATTGCACCCGCCCACTGCTGCTGTCAATCAGCAGAGGTGGACCTGAAGTTCTCCATCCGGTCCACCTCTGCTGACTGACATCAGCAGAGGGCGGGTGCAATAGCCAGCTTGCTATTGGCTATTGCAAATTGAAATAGCCAATAGCAACCTAGTTATTCATTCCTATGCCATTTTTTTTTTTTATGCTGACGGCAGCAGCTGTCAGAACACACAAAAAAACAGCCGATAGCAAAGGAAGCATTAGCTTCTTTGCTATCTTCCATCATTTCAGGGGGGTGCTCTCTCATATCACATTAGATTAAATGCTGATTGGCAGTGACCACTTCTAAACAGCGTACAGTATTTGGTATTCCTGCCGCAGGATTTCGTAGGTTTATGCTAGAGGGATCCCAAAAAGCACATTCACACTAGACTAGAGTGTGAATGAACCCTAAGGGTCTGTGCACACCTACTGCCCTGAGCTGCAATGATCTGAGTTAATCAAGGCGAGTTCAATGCAAGGACACAGCAAATACTATTGCTGTTTATGTGCCCAGTTTACACTAAAGCATTGTGTTGGTGTGTACTGAAGAAAAATGTACTGTAGACATGCTGCGTTTTTTGCAGCACAGCACACAGAAATGTGTTGTAATGCACATCAATGCATTACAACGCGCTCATGTGCTATAGAATTACATAAAAGTTTAAAAACAAATTTAAAAAAACAAGCACTACAATGAGATTTAATAGCACATTACATTGTATGGTTTTGCACATTTACACCTCACACCAGAATGAAAGCCCATCTTCACTTTAAACCCCATTTACCCTCCCCCAGTCATGTGACATTGACAAGCATATTACTTCCTTTCTCTTGCCTTAGCGGTGGAGAGTCCTCACTGCTGCATAGAGTGGCAATCATGTGAGCATTGCTCTTTGCATCACTGCACTGTGAGCACAAGCTGCATGATGGAGGGATTACAAAACAAACTCTATTGGTTCCAAGTCCAGCCATCTGTGGGAGCCCATGTATATGAGAAGGTGGCTGGAGGATCTGACTGGTGAACAATCAATAACTTCTTATTACAATTATGTCACAAATTGGTCGAATAGTGAACGTGATCAACCTGGAAAAGCCAACCTAGACCAGTGTTTCTAAATGTTTTTTTCAGTCAAGGCACCCTTTAAAAGTATGCAAAATTTCGAGGCAGCCCAGTTTAACAACATAAATGTAAAAATCTTATCCTGGACAGGGGTCTGGTATGAATTTTATGGAGGGGCACCATGCGTAAAAAAGTGGGGTTCCTCCTTCACATCAGAGTCCTCCAATTTAACATCAGAATCCACTTCACATCAGAGCACCCCTGCATAAGAAGTCCCCCTTTACTTCAGGAGCCCCCTACACATCAAGTGCCCCCCTTCTCATCAGGAGCCCCCCTTCACATGAGAGCTGTCAGTCCCCCCAGCAGAACGGTTGTGGCATGGTGACAAGACGGGAAGACTGGAAAAAGGTGGACTTCCATCCTCTTCTAAATGCTGGGGGCGATGCAGGATGTTGCTCACCCTGGATTAGTATCATGCATTTCCATTCTGCTGGTGGTTGGCCAGTCTGCACCATAGAAACTCTTGACACTCTGTATGTAAATTTCAAGGCACTCCTGAGGAAGCTGGAGGGCACCCTGATTGTGAAAGGCTGACCTGGATGATTGAGTTGACTGGCCTGTCATCCATGGAATGTCTGCAGAGCACCCATGCCCATGCAAACCATATTTCCAAACTAGCTGTACTCCAATGGATTGGGAGACTATCGCCTAATACTGTATCTGTGGGCACCTTTGGTGGTGTGGAGATCAAGAGTCTTGGCCTACCTTTCTCCCAGGTGTGCGCTGGTACCAATTCTTTTGAAATGCTTACTGGATTATTGGTATTTTCCTTAAGGTTAGCTGTTATAGGTTGGCAGCTCTTGGTATGAAGTTCAGAGAATACTTTGCTCAGCCTGTTATCCCTGTTCAAGAGCAAGAGTGTCCCATTCAGATCTCATTCAGACCATTCAGAATTCATTGATAGGTGAATTTGACCTGCAGTTGAACTGCTTCTGAACTGCATTTGACCTGCTTCAAGTGGGTTTTGTATGGGAATGCAAAACTCACTTAAAGGGAACAAAAGCCAATCAGCACAGGCCCTTAAACTATTGTGAAGAAAAAAATGAGAGGGCCACATGAGTCCCACAAAATACCAGTTTGCCATGCTGGACTTAGATGTTTTATGGTAGGTAACTGAATGGTTTGAGGTCACAGCTGAAGTCTGATCCGTTGTCATAGATAGGCTCTGTTTCTGGTTGTTACTTGTTTCTGGTTGTCTATGATACTGATTGTGGCTCTGCAGACTTGTTTCTGGTTGTCTATGATACTGATTTTGGCTCTGCGGACTTGTTTCTGGTTGTCTCACTATGATACTAATTGTGGCTCTGCAGACTTGTTTCTGGTTGTCTATGATACTGATTGTGGCTCTGCGGATCTCTTTTTGGTTGCCTATGATACTGATTGTGGCTCTGCGGACTTGTTACTGGATGTCTCACTATGATACTGATTGTGGCTT